CCCGTTTTATGGTATCTGAGCAAAAAATCAACCAATCCAAACAAAAACAAATAAGGACGGGGACCACTCGGGAGAAAACGATCCAGCGGGAACAGCCTGCGGCGGCCGGCTGCCGTACCCGTGCTCTCTCCTGGGGCTGCGGATGCCGCAGAGGACCGCGCGACGCTCCCGGGACGGGGCGGGAGGCGGGCGCGCAGTGCCTGCTAATGGCGCTGCCTTCAGTCGCCCCACGGTGCGGCACGGTGCTCGCTTTCGGGGCTCCGCACGGGCATGTGCTGGTCAAGTCAGTGCCGCTACAGCTGTATGATGTGTGCTCATTGTGGCCATAGTTAAGGCTGCCTTACGATTTTTCTCTCTCCCTCTCTCTCTCTCTCTTTTTTTTTTTTTTTTCCCTGGGGCACAGTTCTGCCGTGCTTTTCTCTTACAGAGAAACCCGAGCTGTCCCGTGCTTACTTCCTGAGCTAGGCTGATGTCAGGGCTGTGCGTCGTGGAATCGGCTGCGAAATCCTTCTGACAGCCCTGCTGGGGTCTCCTGGAAACCCCCAACGCTAAGAGGCCTCTGCTGCACCCAGTTTAGGCAGGTTCATTTCGTTTTCTTTTTCCTTTCTTCTTTCTTGCTTTTCTTTTTAATCTTTCTCTTTTTTCTCTCTTTTCTTTCATTCTTTCCCCATTTCTTTTATTCTTTTTCTCTTCTTTTTTCTTTCTTTTTTTCCTTCATCTCTTTTTTCTCTTTTTTTTTTTTTTTTTTTTCTTCCTTCCCATCCCCAACCCACCCGTTCCCCGGGGGCCATTTTGGGCTCCCCCATGCCGCACTGTCTGCCAGTCCCCGCCCGGAGCCGGCAGCAGGTGCGCGGTGGGGGCCATGCAGGAGCTGCGGGCTGCAGCCGCTGTCCGCTTTTTCCCGTCGTTGCCGGGCGGAGAGAGGTGCTGTGAGGCGCGTCCCTCCACTGCAGAAAAGCGGGGCTTCTCTGTATGTCTGCTTGCAGAGGAATTACCACTCCTGAGCAAGTAGGGCTCGCGTTAATGTATCCCTTCCCGTTCTCCAGCGCTTTTCCCCCCGAGGTAACAGCCATAGGGCACTGCTATGCTTGGAGCCGCGGAGCCTCCGGGCGGCCTAAGGGGGGAGCGGGGCGGAGACTGCGCACAGGTCCGGCGTCCAGCATCGCTCCGAGCCGCTCCCTGCCGGGGGAACGGTGCTCCGCGATGGCTGCTTTGGTTTTTTTTTTTCATTTTTTTCTTTTTTTTTTCCTTCCCTTTCCCCCCCCCCCCCCCCCCCCTCCTTGTTTTTTATCCCCTATTTTGCCCTCTTCAGAAGTGCGGTGCAAATGAAGGCTGGGGCGGGGTGGCCGCCGCGGGGACCACGGATCCCGCTGGCCGGGAGCGCTTCTAGAGATTTTGGGATTGCTCCTTTCAGACAGTGGGGGACGTGTAAGGTGCAGTAGTTGGGCATGGCGTCCCGACAGAGCAGCAGCTGTCACCCAGCAGCTCTATCCCATGGCACTCAAGATTGTTCTGAACTTCTTTATGGCTCTTAAAACTTCAGTCTTGGAGTTATGTCTTGTATTTTACCATCTGACTTCTAAACAAATGCATCTCATTTCCTACACACTGTGAGCAGCCCCATATGAGTAAGTGTTCTGCAGCTTTTATTTTCTCTTACTGGGAAGCTTTCAGAACAGTAGAGGAGAGACAGCCGTGGCTGAGAACAAGGAAGCTGTATTTTCTTCCTACTGATGGACTCATCGGTAACTGCTAGTAAAAGCAAGAAAAAATACTGTTGTCTTTTTCTTTTTTTTTCCAAACCTGATTTGAGTCTAACTAGAAGTTTGAGGTGATTTCTAGCCATTCACACCAAAGTGGTTCTGACAGATTGAGGAAAGAGCAGAGAACCGAGGAAATCATGTGTTGCAAATGTGAGGGAGATAAAAGTAGAGGCATGCAGCGTTGCCAGGACTGTATGTGTGGGTGTGCAGCGTTCATCCCAGTTCGCAGCAAGCAGCCTGGCAGCCTGGCAGGGCTCCTGCCAACAGGTCTCAATGGGGCTGAGCCTTCAGTAGCTGCTGTGGGGCTGCAGCCATGAGTGTGCAGTGATAGAGCTGTGCTGCCTTGACGGGCTGCACTCACACCCGCAGATTGTTTCGTTTTACTTCAGTTCTGGGAAGTATAAAAATTGCACGGAGACTTGCTGTAAGAAAACAAAATGTTAAGCTGATGATGAGTCAAAAAAAAAAAAAAAAAAAAAAAAAAAAAACAAGGAAGGAAAATATAGTGAGTATTTGTAAATCCTTCGCAGTGACATCTTTCAGTGGTTATCACTGAGTAGCACCTCTGCAGATGTGCTCTCGGTGAAGCCAGCTATTGGGTTTTCAGGCTGCCGACTGAAAGCACAGCTCCACATGCCCTGCAGTTTGCATTCCCCACCTTTTGGTGCCTACAGAGATCAATGAATGCACTCTCGTGGGTCAAGTGCTGCCTCCTGCCCCCCAGTCAGTGGATGCTGCTTGTTTGTGCGGTACTCTCGTTAAATGCATGAAATGCTTGAGCTGTCACTGCTTCCTAGGTGATGGGGAAGGGCAGAATGTCCTCTGGCTCAGGGCTGTGCAGGATGGTAAGACAAAGATGGTGGGATGGCACCCCTGGACTGCAGGGGCACAAACCCTGTAGGCGTGAGCCTCATCCTTCTCTCCTCACACCTTTGCATGCTTCCTCTGTGAGCTTGGGCACTCAGACAAATTAATTCTATTAACAAAGGGTGTAAATTAGAAGTGTCTGTGAACTGTATTGAGTCTCAATTTGCATGGTCTTATTCACAACAAAAGTGGCTGCAATTTGATTTAAATTAATTCACTTTCAGAATAAAATAACACTGAGTAGAATAAAAGCAGCTTTAGTTTTGAATGGTTGTCTGCGTAGAATTGTTTGTGGTTTAACTAATCCACTTCAAAAATAACTCATATTAATTTTTGTGGGCTTCTCCCTCTAGGTTAGCTTGCTTTGTCTCTTTCTTTCAGTCTCCTATCAGCAAAATGGAGATAGTAGTAGCCTGCTAACATTTTAAAATTGCTGTGTTGAATACTCTTGGTAACTGCAGCATTTTGCCTTCCACTCGGTGCGTAGGTTTCTCAAAACCCGGGACTTGATTTTCTACACACGTGTAGAATTCTTGCCTGGCAGTGTTCTACAGGCTCTGTACGCAGCCGTACGCGGCCACACAAGACAGATAGCAGTGGGGAATGAAGGCTTTGCTGTGCGTTTTGAACTCTGACCAAACAACTCCTTGGCTTTGGTTCCGTGTTTTCTTCAAAGACTGTGGGCCAAGACTTAAGAACTGTCTAACTTTTGTCATCTTAATGAACGGTTTCAGTGGTGTTAATGGGAACTAGGGCACTTTCTTTATTAATGGAAATCAGGTCATTTAATTACCTAACAAAAATGCACCTAACCTCGTCTCACTGCTTTCTGCACTTCATGAATTATGAACTTTAATCTGTTTTAGAGAAAGCTCTACTAAAACAGATGAAGCTGCAGTGGGTATAAAATTATCTTTTTATAATGGAAATGCTTATTGTAAAAATCAACACACTAGCAGAACTTTCTTATTGGAAGTCGCTGCTATTTAAATCTTCGCAGTGATGTAGCATGGTTTGACTAAGTCATGGTATGTAACTACTGAAAGGCCAGGTGAACACATCAGCACATCTTCTGTCAAAAATGGGAACGCTGAGATATTATTATTTTTTTTTAAATCAAAGCTTGGTGGGTTTTGGACTGGAGGGATTCTTTTATTCCTTCCCATTCCTCCCCCCCATTCTACTGTCTGCTTCAACATTTTCCTTTCTTTCTTGAGTGGTTTCACTCCAAGCTGGACTTCTTTTGTGCCTTTCAGTTGCCAGAAGCTGGAGAATTGTCATTATTTGAATTTTGCTGTTGGTTGTTTTTTTAAAATAAAAACCAAGATGCTTTCCAGAGAGTTAGGAAGAAACCAGTTCTCGGAAAGTGCTAAGGAAACAGTGGCTTTAGCTGAACTTTTCTATATGAGAGAAAGGTATAAATCATCTTCAGGCTTCAAATCTAGCTGTTAATAATAAAGCACATCACCTAATGCTCTAAAAATACCCCTGTGTATAGACTATGCATACAACAAAAATAAGCAACCCCAGATATTCTGGCAAGATCTGTGGTATTTTATTTCACTTCCTCAGTAACAGTAGTCATTGTTGGCACCTGGAAATGACTGTGAAAATACAGATCCCTGTAAAGCTGGGTAAATAAAGGGACGTGCTCCACTTCTGCTTGTCAGTAGAAGAAACTGTGATGTCTGACAGTTATTAATGAAAATATTTTCTCAATCTCTGCCATAAAGAATGCAGGGGCAAAATAAATCCTTGGTAAAATCTTTTCCCAAAATAAGCCAGCATAAATGCAGTTCAGAGCCAGAGACTTCCACCGCCATAGAATTTAGTTAAGGATCTTAAGACAAAAAGGTAACCTGTTTTTCCATGAACTCAAAGTTACAAATGCTGCCATGAATGTGTGTCCGTAAAGAGAACCACCATCTTAAACAGCTGAAAGTTCCCTTTTGTCCATCAGTCTTTTTCAGAGGGAAAGAAACTGCTGTTGCCTTGGTTGTCCTCAGCATTGTGTATTAGAACTGCCTGCTCTGAAGCAGGACTTTTCTCTGATCCTATAGTTAACATTGCATCTGATCCTGCTGAGCTTAACTAGGAAATCTTGTGTTGACTGAATATGGCTTTTGCTTGAATAAAGAAATTGAAGAGCTCTCTGGAAAAGCTGGGCCTAGTTCCAATTTTCTTCTCAATTCTAAAATAAAAGGATGCTGTCAAGGTATTTGTGATTTATGGGGGCAAATGTGTTTCTCTCCTTCAAAATCTTGTATCGCTTTGGCAGCAGTTTAACATCTTTTCTGATTCATTTTATTCTATGCACCTTTTCAGTTTATTCAGGATAAAATAATAAAATAAATGTGTGCTTTATTTTAGAGGAAAAGAGATAAGACTTTCTCTTTGGGAGGAAAGCGCGCTCTCACCGGGGTTCTGAGGACACGTCATGCTAATTGTTGGTGACTTTTAAAACTGCTCTTTGTGGTGCAAGAGACGAAAAATTCCGTGTAGACTGAGGGCTTTCCAAAACGCTAAATGCTTTCTTTTGCTTGGTAAGTTGTTTCTTCATGTGTTTTATTTCTGTGGCAGATGTTAACCAAGGGACGTGAAATTCCTGCCAGAGAACACGCTGCTTTTGGTGCTCACACGGCTGCTGGTGCTCACCTTTGACAGAAGCCAAGGCTCTGTGTTGGGACTTGGGCCACACCGGCTGTGGGGCTTGGGGTCCCTCAGAGCCCTGCTGCCTCCTCAGCCCCACTGCCTGTCAGCACTCCTGCTGCTTCCACGCCGCTGAGGCCTGGTGCTGGGAGTGTCACAGACGCTCTGTTTCACGTTTCCTCTGTTGCTTTGTTTGTCACCACGGAATGTATTTTTACTGAAGATTTTTAGCATTTTTAGCTTCCTTTTTTGAAGCTGTTTTTTTTTTCTTCTTCCAAACCATCGCTCCTGTGTGAAAAACTGGCCTCCCTGATTGTCTGCAGGCCCTGCTCCTCAGCCTTTTTTCCAGCTTTTGATTGTCCCTTAATTTTCTGCTACTGCTGGGGGGGCACACTGCAGCTTTGCTCCCTTCTTTCTTCCTGCACCAATCTCTGGGTCAGGCCCGAAGACATCTTGAGAACAGCAGCTCACAGAACTTGCTTTCAAGCAATAACTTCTCCCCAGCCATGCAGAGATCTTTTACATCTTGTTTTGGTAGGCTCTCACACTTCCCCCACTACCTCCCTGGTCTTTGGCTTTTACACAGTCAGTTGATCTTTTCTTCCCCTTCCCTAAACCTTTCGTCTTGCCTGCTTCCTCAGAGGTGGCTGACAGCGTCAGTTCTTCCAGAGTTGATGGTTTTTAATGCAGGTGTCCTCTCTACATTCTTGTGTGCATAGTCCGGAAGACTGCATGCTAGTATGGCTGGCAGGTTTTCCTATCAGAGCAATGAGTACTTTGATTCTCCTGCTAGATAGACAAGACTTTGTGGAGGCTTCCCTCCAGCTTCCCATACACGTTCTGCTGTCTGCTTCTGGGCTGTCCGGCTCACCATTCTGGTTAACAGCTCTGACCACATCACTGCTGGCACCCTCATTCCCTCCCAAAACACAGTCTTCCCTCCTTGGCCCTTCCCAGACCTCCTCTTCCCTCATCCCTGCCTTCTGCCTTACCACACTCACTCTCTCCTCCCTTCTGCTGGTCCACTAAAGCCAGATTATCTGCCCTCCCTCTCTCCCTGCTAGTTCATCTCCTGTAATGCCTTCACATTTTTGGGGGGCCTAACGGCAGGCATTGCAAACCTGGGTATTTATTTACTAGATATGCCCATATCCATAAACTCCCAAAAATTTCACCTCATCCTTGGATCTCCTGGTGGCTGAGACCCCCGCACTGAGGCATTTCACACATGTTTTTTTTGCAAGGTGACCTTTCAGAGTAGTGGCACTTGGTCTTGAGCAGGCGTCCACCTCAGTAGATGACTTGGGTTGACACAATCAGTGGGGATTTTTTGCTCCTGATAGGGGAATTCCAAGCGCCAGCTGCAGCCCTGAGGTCTGTCAGGGAGGAAAGAGGTGAGAGGGATGAGCTCCAGAGATCTTTCTGCCTCGGGTGGGGATGAAGAGAGGGAGCAGAAGTAGAACGTTTCCTATATGGACTCTTTGTTGAGGAAATGGGCTGACAAACTTTCCTGCTCTGAGAGGCAGCCCTAATAGTAATAACAAGGACAAAGAAAAATCTTGCTGCTATTCACTGTAGAGATGGGATTATCACTCAGGCTAAGTGCAGTGCCAACCTGAAGTAAGCCAGTACTTGCACAATGTGTACAAACCACTTGGATGTCCCCCTTCTGAAGACATGTTCCCAGCAGGTGCTCAGGGTGTGGTTCCATCCAGTGTGCTGCTTTTCCTGTTTCAGAACTGCGAAAGAACATGTGCTTCATGTGTTTACTTAGAGTAACCCACCCGGAGATCATTACTTTTGTTGTTAACAAACCTATGCTTCATTTGTTCATATACCAGAAAATAAAATAGCATAAATTATTTGGATGTAATGTCTTAGTTTCAGCTGGAATTGAATTGTTTGAGTGTCTGGTATGATGCTATGTTTTGATTCTAGGAGGAAAACAGTGTTGATAATTCACTGATGTTTATAGCTGCTGCTAAGCAGTGTTATACAGACCCAAGGCTGTTCTCAATGAAGGGCCCAAGGAGCTGAAAGGAAACAGAATTAAGACCGTTGATTTAAACTGGCTGAAGAGATATTCTGTATCATATTACATCAAGTGGAAGGAGTTATGAAGGGGGAGGAGTTCATCTCTGGTCCCCACTGCTGCCTGGGGGGCTAGCTGGCCAAGGGTGGTGAGCAATTGCTTGCCCATCACTTGTTATATGCATTCATATGTGTATATACATATATATATATATACACACACACACATACACACACATTTATATGATCTTTTTCCTTTTCTCTATCTTAGTAAATAGTTCTAGCTCAATCCATGAGTTCTACTTTGTTAGTGATTCTCTCCTCTATCTCACTGGGAAGAGTTGGAGTGAGCAAATGGCTCATGGTGGTGCTGAGCCACCTTCCAGGTTAAACCACAACACTTAGATTTTCAGCATCACTCTTCCAGATAGGGGTTCTCCAGGAATCCCAACTTTTTGCTAGATAAAATGATCTCAGAAGAGAAAAACAGCTAACAGACCAAATACAAAGAGGAAATGCTAGCAGTGCATTACAATCAAAAGAAAAAATGACAGAGCTGGTTGGTCCATTGATTTCTTCTGTACTGATCATAAATTGTAAGTAAGCCGACTACTGTAGAGATGCTAAACAAAGCATGTAAGATTATTTAAAATTTAGAAGACCTGTAATAGCAATGAGGAAATGAACGCGACAGAAAGGAACCTTGAAAGGTCAGCAAGCAGATTAAATGTTGAAACAGTACAGACCAGTTCATCTAACAAAACACTGACCAAGGCATAAAGTGCAACATGAGAAGTGGGAGCACATTCCGGCAAACAAATGACCCCGGTGTATTTCCCATGCAGAAAACCTACGAAGTGGCTGATGTAGCTCAGTTGATCAAATGGCCCTGTACCTCAGGGCAAGCCTGCACAGCTAGCACAGGGGTAAATCCTCACAGTACCTGCAGTCACTACTGCATATAGAAGAAAGACAACAGTGCAGATTGCCTTCCGCTCTGTGTTTCATATTGCTCTCCCTTTCTCCTTCAGATCACAATTTTTTTATTTAAAGCACAATTTTTTTTACAGGGATCAGATTCAAAATGAGAGATATTTTCATGTGATAACCCTGTAGAAAGAAAGTGGAGTTTCACTGCTGTGAACAGTTGTAGAATGAAGGGAGTGTGTCCACATTCCATTTTATTACCTGCTTCTTTGTTTTCCCTTCCCAGTGGGCACAGAGAGCGTTTGCTTTTACATGTGTGCCCAAACAGATTCAGGATCTATAGCTGAGGGAGAATTTAAGCCCTTCAAAATCACTGGAAGAACCTGCTGAGTTAATTTTTAGCACAGTCAGTTTTGCAGTTTGGGGTTGGCTGGACTTCTGATATATTGCTGGAGTTTCATGGTTACTGGCAAAGTGACCAGAGAAGTATTTCACAGAGTCATCTAAAGGAGAAAAGAAAACATCCTAACAGAAGACATTCCAGCAGATGACTTAACTTTTAAAAATCCATTTTGAAATTTGTGTATATAACTCTACATTGTACACAAAATTGTAGCAGAAAACCCGCTTCTAATTTCTCTTTTCCTACATCAGTAAGTATATTGCCCAGTAAAGATATGTTCAAGTACATTTTGTAAGAGATAATATAAACCTAAGAGTATAAGGAGTGACGAACACTTGTTCTCAAAAAATGGTGTAACAGATTTGATGCTAATTCGTAGTTCACTGTCTGACTAGTCCATGTAATGTCTCATTTAAAGCCCTGTGATGTTTTGCTAATAGGATTCTTTTCATTGAGCTCTGTATAAGTATGTCTGTATAACCTTGGTATTAGTCACTTAATTAACCATTAATTAAATTAATACATAGTGTTTAAAATCTGCATCTTGCTAGTATACAATAGGACAGCTTTTGAATATAACAGCAACTTATGTTGAAATATTTTCTTGTATTTTTTAAGAGTGTGAGCACACTTCCTAGACTCAAAATACTCAGACTTACTGGCTCCCACAGAAAAAAAAAAAAAAAAGAATAAAATTATTCAAATGGCAAAGCTGCAAAACTACAGTTCAAAGGGTGAAACTTTTCCAAAGTGATCCAGTAATAATAAATGTAAATTTTGCAATGACCACTTGGTGTCATCTAGTCAGAGCTAGTTTGTTAGATTCTTGTTCTAGGCTTGGTGTTAGTGTTAAGAAAAAGGCATTTAATCTTGATTATCTGAGAGCTCATGGCCCAGTGTTAGCTCCTATTCTCTGTAGGTGAGATCCTCAGAGGCGGTATTGCGCAGTCATTGGAAGACCACCAACCTAACAATTGCAGTCTCTCTTAGGAAGGCTGCTCTGGGTGCAGGCCATAGTGTACTACTTGAGTCTTTTTTGCCCTGATTGTACAGTTATTTTGCTGCCAGCACCTGTGGTGAGCAGAAAAGGTGATTACATCTTGCTCAGTCTATCTGAGGTCAAAACCTAGGGTTCAGTAAGTGGTAGACAGAACTATCAGGTGGCAACAGAGGAACCCTTAGGAGCTCCTGTGAAAATCTGGCGTCAGCTCAGAGCAGCTCCACTCACTCAGCTGCATGAGCAGGCAACTACTTTGCCGGTTTGCCAGTGAGAGGAAAACGCTCAGCCCTTGAATGAGACAAACAACTCCAGGTCTCCTGGGGGGAAGCACATTTTTCAAGAACTCCTTGTGAGGTGAAACACTTGGAATATTTTTTCCTTTGTGAAGGGCCTCCTCTGTTCTGCTCCCCAGTCGGGCGACCCCGCAGAGAGTTACACCCAGCAAATGGGTAATTGCTTGGAACTTGGAACTGAGGCTTGGAAAATCTTTTTGTGTTTAAATCTGTACCTAATCAAACGTCTACTCGCTCTGTGAGGAGAGAGCATAGAGCAGAGCAGGAGAATATTTCACATTGGTCGAAATGAAAGATAAGGTTTTGATTTGATGGCTTTGCTGACCACTTGCACTCGGTTTGCCAAGAGACTTGTGTAGGGAGAGGATGTTTTTGTAAGGGTTTTATTTGTTTCATGTATCAGTTTGTTGTATTAAATGTTTATGATGGTTACCTTTGCTGCTTATAGACTAAAGAATCTGATTGTGTTTGGTGCTGTTTACCACAAAAAGTGTAATACTGGGAGCGTAACGGGACTGTGAAAAAACAGAGGTAGAAATAAGGACAATTAGTAAAATGCAACAAATATGTAGTTGGTTACTTACCAAAAAGAAAATAGTCATAGTTTGTCAGCACTGTGATGATCTAGTTATCCAAAGATCAGACTATTGCAAATTGATGTTGACAAACTGGGGGGAATTCACATAAAAGAACTCAAACCACTGTTGGACTTTAAGGGCTGGTTTATGGGAAAGATTAAAACAGCTAGATAAAGCCTGTCTGTCTAGGTACTTGCATAACAGTAATGAATGTGATGCATTGTGCTGCGTGGTGAAGGACTTGGTGGAAGCTGAGGGAATCCAGTGACCACTTACAAAGTTGTAGGCTGCAAGCACGAAGAAAAGAAAAAAAGTGGATGAGGATTGCTGAAGGAGCACAAGTGCTAAGATGAAAAGGAGGAAAGCTCATGCCAAACACTAGGAAAAATTACCTCCTGTGAGAACTGTTAGTCTGTGGTCAGAAGTTATACAAAACCCCTCAGTTGAGTCATTTAAACTGAATTGTAAAAAACACTCTAGAAAATATGCTGTATTGGCACAGGGTGAGCTTAGATCGGGAACAACCAGTCTACCCCCTGGTTTCCTTTTTCCCAAGGGCCATTTACAGCTAGCATGGTAGATATTATTTGACTTAGCAAGAAGCAGAATGCATATGGCTGGAGGCAAAGAAGGAAAATTCAATGCATGGATTTTGTGCATGGTGAGAGCTCAATGGCTTCTCTGTGCAGATGCAGTAGCCCCACGGGCATGACATGTGGCACAGACAGGCAGGAACTAAGCTTGATACAAGTTTTTTATCAACTCTGATCTGATCTGCCCTACATCACTGTTCATTCTGTGTGAAGAGGATTTGCTAGAAGACACAATGAAGACAGAGGGCTGTCCAGTCACGCCTGTTGATCCCGTGTTCACGTTTCATGGTCAATTGTGTCTGTGCAAGGGAAGAGACAGGCAGCAGGCTCGCCAAGACATGGCCCCTCACTGCTCTGATGTGCATCACCTCTCTCTCCTGCCTCCACAGGTTTCCCACATTTTTGGCCAAGGAGAAAAACAGTTGAGACTGTGACTGTGAGCATGTTTCCTTCCTGTCTTGTGTTGGTAAGGCAGGAGTTACAGGGATTTGGGGGGAAGCACTACAGCAGCTGGAGAGTCTGGGAAAAAAAGAAGCATTGCTCTGTTGAGAGCCTCAGGACAAAGGTGCAAAGTGAAAAAATTATCTGGTGTGTAGAAAATGCTAAGTCTGCTTACTCACCCTGCTGAGGTCAGGGTCTTGGTGGTGCTCATCATGCACACTCCATTGCTCCTGTTTGCTTCTCCAGGAGACTGCTCCCTGTGGCTTTACCCCAGCACGGTCACCACAGCATTGACCTGGCCAAGGAAATTTAAGAACAGTTTCTATAATAAATGCCATCTTTATTTTGAGGGAAAATGTTATTAAGCCTCAATCCTCAATCCATATTTGCTGGAGAATTTTATTTTTCATTTCATTTACAAAGGCCACCTCAGAGTATGCTTTGAAGGGAATGAGCATGGGTACTTATTTCCCGATAGTACTTATTGCTCCATCACAGCAAAATGACCCCAAAGGCATAAATAATTAATTGTTTAAGCACTTCGTGGGTTTCAGTGTGTTTTTTATTCACAGTACTCCTTTGAGCTGCAGAAATGCTTTATCTGATTAAAGATGTTATTTGTATTGTTCTGATGGGCATGGAATGGGCTAAGCCTGGTCTGAAGTGAAAAGTGGAAGGACTGAAGCTGTCCTGCTGAGAGAAAGCGGAGAAGGAGAGGATAAACCTGAGGAAGAGAGATAGGGGAGAGTTGTGCCTTCTGCTCATGCTAGTGGGTGCTCACCTGGTGAAAAAAGGGAGGACCAGCAGCAACTGGTCAAGTAAGATCAGGCGGCAAACCCGGCTTCTCAAGCCTGTGCCACCAGTGGAGCAGAAGCAGACCACAGGGCTGCTGTTGACAACTGTTGACATCCAATCCCAGCCCTGTGCTAAGCCAGACCTTTGAAAAAATAGCCAGACTTATCTCTTTCTTTCAAAATCTACCTAGGGATGCACTGTTTGTTTATTACATGCCTCAAAAATGTGATGGATGTGAACAGATTCTGTTGAATTTATGGTCTTTTGGGATGACAATAAGAAAAAGAAAAAAAAAAAAGTGCACCTGCAGTTTCTTATCTTCATACTCTTTTTGTGGAAAGTATCCTGCACAAAACCTGCTGCCAGCCCATGACGTTCTGATGTGGAGACAAAAAGATTTTTGGATTAATGACATACAACCTCATGCCCAGTGAATGCAACCAGCCTTCCCCAGGTATTTGGAGAGTGATTCTAATAATTTTACTTACAATACTTCTCAAATACTTAGATTCTTCAGCATTCTGACCTAGTGATGTCTGTTCGTGTTATGTATTGCAGCAGGGGAAGCCAGACTCAGCTGGAGACTTTCTACTCATATGAGTGTGTGGGTTGCAAAACAGCAGGATGCTCTTCAAAGGATGTCCTCCAAAAGTGCCTTTGGTCTCCATACCTGAAGCATGTTAAATTTTGGCTAAATTGCAAAGCATCTTCCTTTCTTTGTCAATCTTAAAGTCCTGGTAGCAGAAAGTGGACTTGGCTCCTTTTAAACTGCAGTGGGGTGTATAATCTGCTTGATAAAGCATCCTTAGCAGAATAAGATAGGTAATCTTTTCTGGAGGAAAAATGGAGTAAAAGCTCCAGTGAATAAATACAAGATTGTTTTCAACACTCTCCTCCTGGACTCCTGCTGTTGAGTGACTGCAAAATTCAGAGAGATTATTTTGGCAGTTCCAAAAATCTGTCACACAGATCGGAGTTTTTTTTTCCCTTGCATTTGTCAATGTGTGACTAAGCACAAGTATTACAGGAAGCATGGAAATGTTTGGGCTTTAAAGAATGGTTGTGGAAAAAGACCTCCTACTGGTTTAACAACTGCTGTTTAATAAAATAATTTTCGGATGTCCAAATTGCTGATTGTTCCGCTGAGGGTTACGTTGTGACCAGAAGGGATCCCACCAGTCCCATGTCATCAGCCTGGGCACTTTGTGAAGTTTTCTGCAGCCATTTCCTGCTTCAAAACAATGAAGGATGAGAGATGCTCATCGTTACTCCCTATGGTGCAGGGATGTGTTCATCTCAGTCTCTAGGACGGCATCAAAATCTGAGGAGAAGAAGTCAAAACAGTTTCACTGAGGTACAAGGAAGAATCTTTGCTTGGGAGATGCAACTGTTTGCTTGATTTGGAAGGCCCAGCTAGAAGGGGAAAAGCAGAATGTGTCTCACTAAAACACTGAGAGTCATTGTGGATATGCTGGGAGAATTTCCCACTTCTCTATCCACAGCAGGACCCTGGCCCAACTGGCTGCTTGCAGACTGCTCTCGTGCTTCCTTCCGTAGGGCTTGCACTCACATTGCTCGTGGTGCTTGGACTGTTTTGTTGTAGTAGCACACTGTGCCAGATCAATTGCTCACACATGCGATCACTCATACCTGTTTCACTTTAAGCTCTTTCCTGCTGTGCTGCAAGGCTTGAGTCTTACTCACTGTCTTGTGAGGTGCTTGCAGAGTGCTGCTGGATGGTCTTCTACATGCAATGTGCACAATGCTACAGGCAAATGCTGAAGCTTAAAGCACAGCCATGTTCATGGCTGGTCTGGCATGCTCTTTGCAACGTGTTTCCTCTCCCATTATTTTTGGGCATAATACACAGCTTCAGCTCTCCATGCAATTGTGCATTCTTAGTCTACATGTGGCTGCAGACAGCGAATTGATGATGCCACCACATTTTTATTGTTTTTTTTTTTTTTTACAGGCAGCCAGCAGATGCCAGGAAGTGTTGCTTATTGACATTAATCATTACTCTGTTGATAGCCCTGGGCGTGCTGCTGTAATTGACCAGAACCAAATCCAGTAATCATATCATGGAAAATATACATCACATTTATTTCACATCTGAATTACAGTAATATGAATTCATGGCAAAATTCTCAGTGACTACGTCAGAAGCAGGAGGAGAGCCTTTGTCTGCTAGCACAGATGTAACTAAGCTGTTAAGCACAGTCTGATGTGCTTAGGCAGGAGGCTGAGGCTACATCAAGAAGTTATCTTGGATAGGATCTTGTAGCCTAAATCCTATTCAGATGAATATAGATAAGTCTCTGTAGTTTGTAGTGTTTGTAGAACTGTGTTTTCCAATTGTGTTTTCTGTTGTTTTCTTTGAGCATTACCCTTCAATAGATGGGGCTGCTACAATCTCTTCAAAGAATATAAATACTCTATTAAGAATGTGTAAAAAGGCCTTCCAATAAGACAGTTGAAGAAGCATTTCTTTTTACAAAATTATCTACAGAAAATGATGAGAACAAACAAACAACAGCTGAACAGTAAAGCATCAAGAAGAAACACATCTGAGGTTTAATTTGATCACTTTATGCCTGGGAAACAGAATGAGGAGTTAGTTATTGAGCAATATTTGTATCACATTGACTATTGTGTTAATGAATTCAATTTTTATTAAATAGCATCAACATGTTAGATATTACACTGGAAAGAAATGAAGATCAGTAGTTAGCCAAAGTAGTCAACTGATGTTCTTTCTATGGTGAACGCAAAATCTATGTTGCTTGTTCAACAAAACAGTTCTTAAAGAGACGAGGCTTGAGAATACCTTAAGTTGCCATGAACAGCAGGGTCCAGGGGGAACAGAAAAGATTTGATGTCAAAACTTGACTGCAGATATTCCTTTTGACCAGTTCTTAGTATCTTCCCTTACTTAGCTTACTTACTAAGGAAGACAGCTTCTTCATAATGATAAGGAAACAGAGAGGCTGGTGCACGCAGCTGCCTTACCTTCACAAATTCACTTTGGAGATCTTTAAAATTTTCTGTTTCTTTCATGTTTTCATCTTTCTTTTTAGTCATTGTAGTACTTTTAAATACTGTGGTATTTAAAAGCTAAACAAAACCCAGAGTGTAGCCTTTTTGTTTCAGTTCTCCAGTGACAGAAATATTGCAGTCAACCAAAACTTCAAAAGCTACAAATTTAAGTTGACTGCTGCCTCTTATCCAGCCGCATACTACTTCAGTTTGGGAAGCATATGCATTTTAACAGTGATTCTCAGTTTTCAAACCTAATTATTAGTAGCCAGAGAGAAATGGTTGAGACATTTCTGTTTTTCTCTAACTTGATCCACATGGGATCTCCTTTGAAAAACTTGTTGCTGTAAATTAAGCAAATCCTTAGGTGATTTGTTGTCTTAAAACTTCTGAGCCCAGGTTGAATGTGCTGTACAATCATATTATTTCCTTGTTGAAAACTGTACACCTTTGGTAATGAAATCAGAACACAATGAAGTTGGAATCCATCCTACTGTGACTTTATCCACAACTTTCTGCTCTATATAGACATGCACTTAAAAGAACTGGTGAAAAATTCACAGTCCTGCTGCTTTCCCTGCATCCACCCATTCCTAGGAAATGGCTGTCAGGTCAGTTAGTTATGTCCCAAGAGGAAAAACTTTAAAACCAGAGCTATCAAGGTTGAATTTCATATTGCTGTACCTCCAGAAAGGTTTGAGTTACATTAATGATGATTTTGTGGTTGAATTTCTTGGCCAGGGTGGTAAGTGAAGGACTTCCTGGTAATGAGATGCTCACCTAACTGGCTGGATGTCCAAATTTTCCTCTTAGTATTCAGCAAATCTGTAGGCTGCTTAAAATTCACCTTTTTCCATGTATATTCTTGGCCCCAGCTGCTTTTCCAAGTGCCAAAACTTTGCTAGGAAAAAATGAAGACCCATAAGAATGCATACTCTGATTTTACTTTATGGAAGAGAAATCTTTTTCTATGCTGGCATTAAACTCCTGAAGGTGAACAAAGAGGGAGACATGCCTAGAAATGCACAAAGAAGCTGGGTTAATTAAGAGAGCTCCCACTGCCCTCCTTCATGAAAGCTGTTATGCTTTTGAAACCCTGGAGATGGTTTCACTGTGAATTTGTGAGGTTAGGAATACAGCTGGGATGCTGAGACTGTGGGCTGGGTGGTATGTATAGAATGTGTTTGATCAGTTTCCCCAGTTGTATTAGAAAGAGATGGCATAAAAGAAACAGGGTGGAAATAAGCAGAAAGGATGAGCAGCTCCCTCTGGGATAAGTCTGAACTGATTTAGATTGCGGGAAATCACTTTTTATGTTGAATGTATTTTCTTAGAGATTTCAGTGGGGAGATTTTTTTTTTCTGGTCTGTATCAAAATCACAGAAAATATTTGTTAGCCTTCAGAAGCACATGACTCAAACTTTGCCATTCATTTTGCCAGACGTTAGCAAAGCAAGCTAAGGCCCAAATTTCTGTGTATACTTTCTTTCAAATAATGTACCAATCTCATCTCACCCTCATTATTTTACACAATTAACGTTAGTCAGTTTTCAGTGATTTTCACTGTTCAAAAAAATACTTTTCTTGCCTGAAACACACCTACTGTGGGTGTACTTGAACACTACTATCACTGGTCTAAATACATGTAATTGCAGCATGTTGGACAAACAACATGGGTGATGGAAAACATGGTGCTTCTCTTTATAAGTCATTGAAGTTGAACAATGAATCTTCATCGCACCCTGTTAAGCTTACCAAAATTAAGGTTGTCCAGGAGATCGTAACACTTTCATAAAAAGGAGGTACTTACAGCACTGTAAGTTGTATTTGGAGGCAAAAGCACCTTCAGCTCTCAGTGAGTATAAAGAATGGTGCTGACATGCATCAGAACGCGTTGTGTCTCCTCTTCCCTGGTGAGCTGGGCTCTGATCATCTGATTCCTGTACCAGCAAGGAGGGATTTCCTTTGATGACAGGACCATGGATAAACATGGCAGAAAGTAAAGAGCATTAATGATAACAGATGTTGTAGTGTTTTGCTGTGTTTACAAGACTCCTCTGTACTTTGTGTATAATATGAATTATATATAAATGATTGATTCTCATTTAATTAATATAAGATGAAATGGGCAGCTCAGAGCTTCCTAAAGATGCAAATAAAGAACTCAGTGTCTGTTTGAGAAACTCTGTGATTGGACTTGACAGCAGTCATTAAAAAATGGTCCTTAATTAAATGGGCACCTTTAACTTTTTTCTTGCAAACCACTACTCAGCTCTCTTTCCTTCCTATGTAAATATGGGGGCTGCACTGAGATTATAGTGGGAAAACAATACCAATTAAGAAAAGTTAAGGTGTCAGAATTAAAGGGAAAATAGTTTTAAAGTTTGTTTGATTGTTAAATGCAATCATTATGTGCAAGAGATGTCGCACTCACAGGTTCTCATCCTAGTGTGGTATTTCAACCACTCAGATATCCTGGGAAAACAACATGATGAGCTGTAAGCAGTCCAGGAGCCTCCTGGAGTCCATTGACAACAACTTGCTGGTGCAGGTATTGGACAGACCCACCAGAAGTGAAGTATTACTCTGTTCACCAACATGGAGGAGATGACAAAAGAGGTTAAGATTGGAGGCAGTCTGGGCTGCCATGCTGTGGTATAGTTCATGATCTCAAGGAACACAGGCTTGGCAAAGGAAGGAGTCAGGACCTTGAACTTAAGGAGAGCAAACTTCAAGCTGTTTAATGAATTGTTGGATGAGACACACTGGGAAACTCTCCTTAGGGACAAAGGAACAGATCAGAGCTGGCAGTACTTTAAGGATGCCTTTCTGAGAGCACAAGAGCTCTCCATCCTCCAGAATAAGCAATCAGGCAGACAAGGCAGGAAACCAGCGCGACTGTGCAAGGATCTCCTGGTCAGGCTGAAGGAAAAATATGGAGAAGTATAAGCAGTGGAAACAGGGATAGATGGCCTGAGAAGAATATAGGGATATTATCTGAATGTGCATTGATGGAGTCAGGAAAGCCAAGATGCAGGTGGAATTGAACCTGTTAAGGAACATGAAAAAACTACAAGAAAGTGTTCTTTAAATACACTGAGCAGAAGAGACAAGCAAAGGAGAGTGTACCCCCTCTGATAAACGAAAAGGGAATGCTGGCAAGGCCAAGTACAAGGCATTGCACTTGGATAGAGACAATTCCAGGTATGAGTACAAACTGGGAAAACAACTCATTGAGAGCAGCCCTGCAGAGAAGAACTTGTGAGTTCTGATGGATGAAAAGCTGGACACGAGTCAGCAGTATGTTCTTGCAGCTCAGAATGGCGATAGTATCCTGGGCAGCATGAAAAAAGGATGGCTAGGAGGACGAGAGAGGTTGTTCTCCTCTACACTACCCTTGTGAGGCCCTACCTGGAGTAATTTGTCCAAGCCTGGGACCCTTTTGTACAGGAAAGATGTAGAGCTGTTGGAGTGGGTCCAGAGGAGGACCACAAAGATGATCAGAGGGCTGGAGACCCTCTCCTGTGAAGAAAGGTTGAAGAAGCTGGGCTTGTTCAGATTGGAGAAAGGAAGGCTCCAGGAAGATCTCATTGTGGCCTTCCAGTACTTGAAGGGAGCTAACAAGCAGGAGTGGGACCAACTTTTTACATGGTATAACTTTGATAGGAGAAGGGGGAATGGTTTTAAACTAGAAGAGGAGAGATGTAAGTTAAATGTTAGGAAGAAACTTTTTATTCAGAAAGGTGGTGAGGCACTGGTACAGGTTGCCCAGAGAGGTTGTGGATGCCCCATTTCTGGAAGTGATCAAGGCCAGGTTGAATGGTGCCCTGGGCAGCCTGATCTACTGGGTGGCAACTTTGCCCATGGCAGGGGTGTTGGTGCTTATGATCCCCTGCAACCTACATCTATGATTCTGTGATTCTATGTGTGCCTAAACTTTTTTTCAGTGTCTCTTCCCTTTGACTTTTATTCGGCAAGCAAGCAAGCTTTAAACAGCCAGAAGATTTAATTGCTTGTTGGTGTGGAGCAGTAACAGTTATATGCTAGTTCAGCTCAAAATAATAAATATTTGCTCATATTAGTGTTGTGCAAAACTTGAATTTCATGAAAACTGTGTGACAGTAGCAAAGGACTGGGAGTCCTCCTAGCCTCTCAGAGAAGTTCCCCATAAACCCTGCATGAAGAGCACCTTCATTCAGAAGCAGCTGTAGATCTATACATATCTGATGATTAATTGAGTGATTTCTGGTGATCCTGGATACCTGAGTTTCCTGGTGCAGTGGCAGTAGCATTGACACATTTGACAAAAGAAATGGGCCAGCTTTCCTTGTTATGCCCCTAGGGAACATCGCATTCTCCCTCACTGTTAAGGAAGAGACTGTCAATCATCTTCTGAATGCAGGTTTCTTTCTGTTTTTCCATGTGACAGGGCATGATGGACGGCACCGAGGCAAGTCACATCCTCCATGAATAAAGTTGGTTGAGATTGCCATTTTCATGGTGTGTTTACTCATTTCATCCTAAACTGTGATGGAAAGTTGAGACGTGCTGAAACAATGCAGTTTGCAGATCCACTGAAAGAGCTGGCTAAGCCAACCCAGAGCTCTTAACACATTTTTGGTCTGAATGCTTCACAGAACACAGAATGGAGAAAAGAAAAAAGGCAGCAGGCAGCTTGCTTGCCAGTAACCAGCACTCTCTGAAGCTGATAGTCCCCATGTAGAAGCTTTCAGTGAGTGAAAGTAGATAAACCCACCTGCCCAGATGGGCTGATTAAATGGCCTCTGAGGGGGTAGGAAAACAGTGTGACACACATTCAGATCTTGCACACTTTAACATTCATTGTCATTCTTTCCTGAGTGCCATGTCACAGTGCTAGCAGCTGGGGCAATCTGTGGAGGAGCTCCAACAGCAAGTCTATGGACAGGCCAGTACTTAAACCCACTGTGAGAAGGAGGACCAACCAGCCCTTCTGTGGCTGTAAAACACCAAAATAATAATACAAAAATAACAGCCAGCCAAATTGCAATGCTCAGAAGTGCTCCATGGCATCGCCTGTCTCGCAGTCATGGCCTTGGTGAGCCATTCCTGAAGATGAGAGAGCCTGTCTACCAAAGCCACTCATTTGTTGTCTTCCCCATCCTGAACCCATTTTGCCATCATTTCCAGAATTGCATTTTCCTTACACTGCTGAGAAGCTGTGAGCTGCTTTTATGTGAAAAAGTCATGAAGTCGGATGAATACTCAGGAATGTGGAAGCTGAGGAAAATTTGAGTCATAAGTGACTGCAGTATTTGCATGAGACTCTTTGTCTGACTTAGAAAGAAATACTGTGAAATTTTTGATCTGGGATAGTTCTAAAAGGTTGGGTTTTTTCTTTCTTTGTGTTTACTCCCTAGGTGAATAGGGCAGTGTGTGTCTTCCTGGCCATAGAAGCAGCATCGAGGTGAAGCTCTGCCGGCAGATTTTAGGGTCTGTTGAATCTCTACTCTGAGCTTTGCGGGAATCCGAGACACAATTGTGGTATTTTGGAGTAAACATTTTAAACAGGAGGAGCAATTTTCAGTAAACCATAGGGAGGGTGGGAGAGAAGATTTGCCGTTGGAAGAGGAAGCTGGAAATAAAGGCTTTTGTTTCTTCCTGCCTGGAGAGGTCACCCAGTGTCTCTGAACTTCCAGTTACCTCCTATAAAAAATATTACAGCTGTTAATGCACACCATTGTAGTGCCCAAGCTCACAACCAGACAAGCTGAATGGCAGAGCTGGTCATTGTTGTTCTTCTGGAAAGAAGAAAAAACGGAGCAGAATAAAATGAGTGCAGATTGTAAAGTCTTTTCACTCTATTTTGAATTGCTGTAATAAAAAAGGCCAACACGTAACAACCACATGGAGAGTTACACAGGAACGATAAAATATCCTTGTGCCTGGGGAAGCAGAGCTCATTGCTCCCTGGTCAGTCATACTCTGGAGCCCACAGAGAAGCTGGCTGTGCCAGGTCATTTGCTGACAGACATCTGCATCCAACTTGGAACACAGCCCGAGTGCCTGGTAGGAGAACTGTAGAAAAAAACAACAGCTGAATATCAGGTTTGTACCATAAAAGATATATACAAAGGTCTCAAATCGACATTATGCTGAACCTTATTTTTACATTTCCTAAATTTTAAGTGCCTGACTTTGCACCTTATCAATATCCATAGGGGTTTTTCTTCCTTTACGTTTTGTTATTGTTACGAGAAGCTCTGACCACACTTCAAGTACTACGAGCAGTCCCAAAGAAACCTGCAGGTTATTGGGAAATATATTAATTTGTTCCAGATCTCACTTCACTTATCACCACTGGTTTTGGAAAGCAGCAACTTTAAAGCAGGGTTGCAAATTGTTTCAGCATGTTAAAAACCACAGTGGTGTGTAAGTTCATCCGTGTATGCCATGTGTCTCAAACAGAGATGTGCATTTTATGTCAAACATTCAAAATGACCACTTAAGAACATGGGATTTTATTTAAATTTTGGCTGCCCGGTAAGTGTTTGACTGCATTTCCACTAAATAATAATGACATCAAGAGCTTTGTTAAATTAACCACAAGACCAGTATGTATTTCCTATAGCTTTCTCAGGGGACGTCCAGTACACTAATCCTGCCAAAAGGCAACATATGAAAATATTGTAGGGACTCAGTGTATGTGGAGTAAGGCTGTAAATGACAAATGACTGTCAGGCACTAGTGTCCAGCATAGACCTGTGCAACTCAGTATTATTGCTGCTATTCTGGAATGTGACATAAATACTCAACAGTTTGATGTCAGTCCCTTTGGGGTGGGCTGACCACCAGGATATATGAACAACGACGCTCTGCTGATGCTGGGAAATTCACAGCACATCTGTTTTTCTATCTCTTTTGTACCATTGGGTTTCAATGCTGAAAACTGCTGCCCCAGACTGTGTACACAAGCAAACATTGGCTCCTTTTTTGCAGATATATGAGTAAGTCTGTCTTTGCTCAAAGATCCAACTAGAAGTGACTGTTTTATTTCCAGTACCTACTGATGAAATGTTTCAGGGAGCTGATCTGGTGACAGAAATAATGTCAGGTGAAATAGGTATAACACAAAAAGCATGTACTTCAGTAAAGAATTACAGTGAATTTCTTCCAAGAAAAACAAATAGATAAAGCGCAGAGCTCAAAAAAAAATTATGAATGGAAGAAGGGACTGTATTTGCTATGTTGTTGGCTACAGATATGTATACAAATGTATATGTATGATTACATACAAATGTGGCTACAAACCTATACAAACAGGTAGACTATTGCATCGTATCTGCTTAGTATATCAGTTAGCTTCTTAGGATTCACTTTTTGGCAAATTCTTTTATGGGCATATGTCTTTTATCCTTGTAATAACCACTAAAGTTCAACTAAGTTGTGTGGTATTACTTAAAACAAAACTGAAATGACTATGCATCCAACAAGTCATTCTTTCAGCAGAGTAAGAAACATTTTTCAGCAGTACAGCAACAAAACTGTGGTGAGTTCCTAGCTGACGAAATGGAAAAGTCATGTCTTGCACTCAAGTAGGAGCATTTTAAAAGATGGCTTTGGCAGGCAAAGAAGC